CATATACCGGACCTGTCCTCCTCCCTAAAAAATACAGAGGGGAGATTCAGGTCCACTTGGAGCCCGTGGATAGCTTTCCGGTATTCGGACACTTATTCCCGAGAATTGTTGGTGCCTTACCGGACTGACTCTGACCGCAGTCCCCCCCACTTAGCCCGCCTATTGCAGTTGACGTGTCAGCAGGGTAATCCAACCTATGCCGTCCTCTTCAACCTCACTGTCCTCTGCTTCTTACCCTTCTGTGCTTCCTCTCAATGGTCTGTTCTTTGTCCAGCTATGTGTATGTCTTCACTCACTTTCCCTCCATTCTATTCCCCCTTCCCTTGTCTCTGACCTTTTGCCTGGGTCTATAGCTTTACCTTTTTACATTCCCTACTCCCCTTTCCTTACCTTCTGCCACTGCTTTAACATTTTTGCAAGACTATTCAGACAGAGTAAATGAACAAATAATCACCAAAATAATATTAGAACGCAGTTATTTTATGTCCACGTGTGATCTGTATGGCACGTTATCTCTATATCTCTATCTCCCCCTGTCATCACAAATCCCATCATGCATCTGTCTCTGGAAGTCATGGCTGTGAGATTCTTGCAATGCTTCATGGGATTTGTACTTCCACAACTGCTGGAGTTTGTCCATCTCTGCATTGAAGCCTAACTCCAGCCAAAAACTGTGTTCTCATTGAAGGGATTTCTAACTACTTCCTGTTTGTACAGATAGCAATAACAACTTGACAAAGACTATGCTATATCCACTCTGTATAAGGCCCCATTCACACCGCTGCTCCATGTAATATGCGCGTCTGCCGCGCGACCGTCGCGCGGTTTTTTTACCGCGATTCGCGGTAAAAAAGTCGCGCGACCGTCGCGCGATTCCAAAGGCTACTTGGCAGTATCCAAATGGAAAACGCCCTACAAAACGGACCAATACGCAGCAAAAACGCTCCGGGACCTTTTCATGCGTGGCCCGTTTTGTAGTGCGTTCGGGACGGGCGGAAGTACGGACAGGTGGGAACGATACCATTGACTACAATGCTATTTATTTTTTTGACCGTTTTGTAGAGCGTTCATCGAGCGTAGGACGCGCTACAAAACGGTCAGGTGTGAATGGGGCCTAACACATTTTAAACTGAAGTTGGGATTTAAAATATATGGAGACTATGGGGCTGATGTAAAAACTTCCACCCAGCATATAACTAAAAGGATGTTGCTTGCACAGCATTAGTGCCACACTAGATGGAGCTGGAGGAGCAAAAACAAATCCTATGCTTCCTGATTCCATCAAGTGGCCATAATGCCAGCAAATAGCTGGGCAAAGTTTTATACGTCAGCCCCTATGACACCAATAATACATTTTTAAACTAGGGACTTTACAATGTACAAAAACAGTGATGGCAACACTGGGTCAGATTTGCCAGCTTTTGGCGCTATATGCCCCTTAAGATTCTTTCGTATAGCTCAACCCCAGGGAAAACCATCTTACCTGGGGTTTAAAGCTAAAGAACATCAAGCGTTTTCATTTCTTTTTTGGATTTTACGTACCTTTCTGTAGATTCCAGGTGCCTTTTCTCCCAGCAGCTTCCTCTACATCAGCGGTTCTCAACCTTTATCCAGTCACGGCTCCTTTTAAAAGTATGTGAAATCTCTGGGCACACCAGTCTAAAATGTAAGAAAATGTGAATGTTAAAATCAATGTGTGGCCCTCCAATATTCATACCAGTCCCTTATGCCAGTTAGGGATAGCTTTTAAGGGGGTAGGGGGGGGGGGGGGCATACAAAAAAACACACAAAAAACAGATTCCCCCATTACATCAGAGCCCCCACACCTTTCACATCAAGATCCCTCTACTTTCAGAGCCCACGGTTTAACACTAGGAGCCCCCTTGAGATCAGAGTTAGCCCAGTACATCAGAGTTACCCCTTAACATCAGATTTACCCATTCACATCAGGAGCAGCATTTAGATCAGTGCCTTCAGATCAGAGTTACCCCATTACATCAGGAGCCGCCTTCAGATCAGAGTTACCCCATTACATCAGGAGCCGACATTCTGATCAGTGTTACCCCATTACATCAGGAGCAGCATTCAGATCAGTGTTACCCCATTACATCAGGAGCCGCCTTCAGATCAGAGTTACCCCATTACATCAGGAGCCGCCTTCAGATCAGAGTTACCCCATTACATCAGGAGCCGCCTTCAGATCAGAGTTACCCCATTACATCAGGAGCCGCCTTCAGATCAGAGTTACCCCATTACATCAGGAGCCGCCTTCAGATCAGAGTTACCCCATTACATCAGGAGCCGCCTTCAGATCAGAGTTACCCCATTACATCAGGAGCCGCCTTCAGATCAGAGTTACCCCATTACATCAGGAGCCGCCTTCAGATCAGAGTTACCCCATTACATCAGGAGCCGCCTTCAGATCAGAGTTACCCCATTACATCAGGAGCCGCCTTCAGATCAGAGTTACCCCATTACATCAGGAGCCGCCTTCAGATCAGAGTTACCCCATTACATCAGGAGCCGCCTTCAGATCAGAGTTACCCCATTACATCAGGAGCCGCCTTCAGATCAGAGTTACCCCATTACATCAGGAGCCGCCTTCAGATCAGAGTTACCCCATTACATCAGGAGCCGCCTTCAGATCAGAGTTACCCCATTACATCAGGAGCCGCCTTCAGATCAGAGTTACCCCATTACATCAGGAGCCGCCTTCAGATCAGAGTTACCCCATTACATCAGGAGCCGCCTTCAGATCAGAGTTACCCCATTACATCAGGAGCCGCCTTCAGATCAGAGTTACCCCATTACATCAGGAGCCGCCTTCAGATCAGAGTTACCCCATTACATCAGGAGCCGCCTTCAGATCAGAGTTACCCCATTACATCAGGAGCCGCCTTCAGATCAGAGTTACCCCATTACATCAGGAGCCGCCTTCAGATCAGAGTTACCCCATTACATCAGGAGCCGCCTTCAGATCAGAGTTACCCCATTACATCAGGAGCCGCCTTCAGATCAGAGTTACCCCATTACATCAGGAGCCGCCTTCAGATCAGAGTTACCCCATTACATCAGGAGCCGCCTTCAGATCAGAGTTACCCCATTACATCAGGAGCCGCCTTCAGATCAGAGTTACCCCATTACATCAGGAGCCGCCTTCAGATCAGAGTTACCCCATTACATCAGGAGCCGCCTTCAGATCAGAGTTACCCCATTACATCAGGAGCCGCCTTCAGATCAGAGTTACCCCATTACATCAGGAGCCGCCTTCAGATCAGAGTTACCCCATTACATCAGGAGCCGCCTTCAGATCAGAGTTACCCCATTACATCAGGAGCCGCCTTCAGATCAGAGTTACCCCATTACATCAGGAGCCGCCTTCAGATCAGAGTTACCCCATTACATCAGGAGCCGCCTTCAGATCAGAGTTACCCCATTACATCAGGAGCCGCCTTCAGATCAGAGTTACCCCATTACATCAGGAGCCGCCTTCAGATCAGAGTTACCCCATTACATCAGGAGCCGCCTTCAGATCAGAGTTACCCCATTACATCAGGAGCCGCCTTCAGATCAGAGTTACCCCATTACATCAGGAGCCGCCTTCAGATCAGAGTTACCCCATTACATCAGGAGCCGCCTTCAGATCAGAGTTACCCCATTACATCAGGAGCCGCCTTCAGATCAGAGTTACCCCATTACATCAGGAGCCGCCTTCAGATCAGAGTTACCCCATTACATCAGGAGCCGCCTTCAGATCAGAGTTACCCCATTACATCAGGAGCCGCCTTCAGATCAGAGTTACCCCATTACATCAGGAGCCGCCTTCAGATCAGAGTTACCCCATTACATCAGGAGCCGCCTTCAGATCAGAGTTACCCCATTACATCAGGAGCCGCCTTCAGATCAGAGTTACCCCATTACATCAGGAGCCGCCTTCAGATCAGAGTTACCCCATTACATCAGGAGCCGACATTCAGATCAGTGTTCCCCCATTACATCAGGAGCAGCATTCAGATCAGTGTTACCCCATTACATCAGGAGCCGCCTTCAGATCAGAGGTACCCCATTACATCAGGAGCCACCTTCAGATCAGAGACACCCCATTACATCAGGAGCCGCATTCAGATCAGTGTTACCCCATTACATCAGGAGCCGACATTCAGATCAGAGTTAGAGAAGCCTGCCTGCACCATAGAAAGCCATGAGGCTGTGTGAAGATTTTGGGGCACCCTTGTTGAGAACGGCTGCTTTCCATACACCCACATCCTCCATGCAGGGAAGTCCATTAGAGCTTCCTCACACCATCTGCATTGACCTGCAGAGATCAACATAGGATCATTGCTAGAGCACAAAGAAAACAATTGCAATGTCCTGCAGAGGGTGGAATTGAGATTCATATTGTGACACCTCACTGAAGTAAAAAAATAAAATAGTACAGTGCAATGCATTGAGAGGAAATCCCTCCAAAGTGAGGGAAATTCCTGGTTGTCACCAGAACTAGTGTCCTCGTTGGAAGATTTCCCATTTATTCCTGTTCTGGTGACAACTCAAACTATGGGATTTTTTTGCACTTTCAGTGATAAGGAATCTCCCTGATGGTGACACATACAATAAAAACCAGACATGGGTCTTAATCATTTAGATACAAGATCAGTCACCCTGGACATGAAGCTCCTGTACAAGGTTTCACATTGGATTACTGCACAGATCTGGGAAAAACACAAACAGCCCATCAAGCTTCAAGTAAGACTCACACTAAGACACATATGGACTTTGTATTACGATAATATGAGGTCATCCTGGAGTTCAGCTTTAACCAAGAACAAATGTATCTAACAAGAGCTTGACGTCATTATTATTATGTGCTCTAGAATATTACAACTCTCATGTCTAGCCGTGCACTGCACACCTGCGTGCGTAGCATCTGATGCACAGGAAGTTTGACCCTTCGCGCTTTCCGTCGCTGATCAATCACCCTGCCCTGCAGTGTCAGCCCCCTCCCGCCTTCTAGGTCTCTCCACAGTCGCTCTCTGCTGAGGACACGCCCCCTATACCGTGGTAAGCCCCGCCCCTGTAATCAGCTGACCTCCGGAGGGCTGTCAGTGCGGCTAGTGGCTCGGAGATCTGCTGGGATGAGACTCAGGTAAAGCGGACGCTGGGGAACTAGAGGGTGGGGGTACCAGGGTGGGGGTGACAGGGTGGGCCCAGTGTCCGTGGGAGATGTGGGCAGTAGTCACGTGTGTCCCTATGATCAATATTGTTTATGTTCTATAGCTGAGATGTCATTCCCAGCAGCAGCTGAGTATTCGTGGGCTGGGGGGAGACAGGTGTTCACAGTGCTGGGAGAGTAAACAACAGGCCGGGGCGGGGGTTAGAGCTACAGAGCACATCTTCCCCCGATCAGTACAGGAATTATCCCATCACTCTATACATGAAGCTGACACCAGGGGGAAGATCTTCCATTTCAAAAGCTGATTTCTTTTCAGTTGGGAGACAATTTAGTATCACAGTCACCTGCTGAAAATATAGTTCATTCTTCTTGTGTTAGGGACTCCATACACATTACAATCATCTTTAGAATGATGAAAACTATGTGATGGGAGAACCTACCTGAGCTGTGCAATCCATTTGTATCCAATCAGGCGGACCCTTGCAGTACATAGTTGTTGCTAGATTGAAAGGAGATTGTACAATCCGATTGTAATGTGTGTGTGAACACTTCATGACCTGAGCCTCGTCTCATTTCTTGGTAAGCCTTTGCTCTGTGCTGGAAGGGAATTTCGGTTTCATTTTCTTCTCTCTACAGCCGTGTACAGGGAAATCAGGAGGTTTGACATGAAGAATCATTCAGAAAAGGAGCATGACAGGTCTAATGCCATTACTGACATGGGAGACCAATTCATCATCTCACAATGGCTGCGACCACAACCTTTCAGAGATAAGGAAACAGGCAGTAAAGATAAAATAAGATCAATGTCATTTTAAAGTCATTTCTATTTTGAGTGAGGAATTTGTCTCTCCCCACATTGTTGGTTGCTGGGATGCTGGCTGCCTCTGGGCTGCTGGTATCCTAGAAACCAATGACACACAGTATCATTGGTTGCTAGGACGCCTGTGAGTTAGAGGCAGCCAGCATCCCAGCAACCAATGCTGCTCAGTTGCACAACATCATTGCTTACTAAGATGCTGATGGCTCTGAGGCCACTGGCATCCTAGCAATCAATTAGCCTCGGCTGCAAAATGTCGTTTGCTGCTGGGACGTCAGCAGCCCTCAAGATTGCCGGCATCCTAGCAATTATTGCTGCTCAGCTGCACTCTGTCATCATTTGCTGGGCTTCTGGTGGTCATGAGGGTGGTGGCATCCTAGCAACCAATCGGGCTTGGTTGCAGAATGTAATTGGTTGCCTGCATGCCAGCAACTGACATCCTAGCAACCAATCAGGCTTGGCCACACAATGTTTTTGGTTACTAGGACATCCGAAGCTCGGAGGTCTCCAGTGTCCTGGCAACCATTGACGCTTGGCTGCACAATTCCATTGGTTGCCAGGAGCCAGGGTGTCCTAGCAACCAATCACAATTGTTGCCAAGAACCCCCCGCACTTCTTACGGTCTGCAACCTTTCAATGGTGGTGGTGCTCATGGTGATCACACGGATGACGCCATGCTAAAAACTCAGAATAGTCTCAACAGGTCACCGCCATGAACAGGTGCCGGTGACCTGTTGAGACTATTCTAGCAACCAATCGGGCTCAGCCACACAATGTCATTGGTTGCTAGGATATCCGCATCCCTGAGGTCTCCAGTGTCCTAGCAACCATTGATGCTTGAGAAAAATATATATCAAAGCGCTAAAGGTATAAATAATATGAAACTTAGTGCAACCAAGTGATATAGTGAAATTAGGGTTTAGGCGGTCTAGCCCTAAACCAAGTGATATATCTTACATAGGATCATGAAAGAAACAATTAAATTAATAATTCAATTGTGCTGTGGAAAAACAGATAGTGATTGGGACAATAAAAACATTTCAACAACTGGAGTCACTAACTAAAAGCCTTTGATCCAGCTCCATTTGGTGAGTACCCACCCCGCTAAGAAATATTTATCATCAACAATATATATCATTAACAATTTCTCTTGCACACGTTTTTTAAGTTTTTTCGTTTATTTCTCACTGAACACTTTATTTTAACGTTTAATATATTTTTTTGCGTGGATCGTTCATATATTGTTATATATTCTGATGTCTTTACACAGTGGTTGAAATGTTTTTATTGTCCCAATCACTATCTGTTTTTCCACAGCACAATTGAATTATTAATTTAATTGTTTCTTTCATGATCCTATGTAAGATATATCACTTGGTTTAGGGCTAGACCGCCTAAACCCTAATTTCACTATATCACTTGGTTGCACTAAGTTTCATATTATTTATACCTTTAGCGCTTTGATATATATTTTTCTTGATCGTTGAAAGGATTCTTCCATTCTCTTTTAGAGCTGCTTTAGGTTTTAATTTACAATACATATTTCCACTTTAGTCTCTTTTCCAGAAGCGCGGATTATCTATTTTTCAACCATTGATGCTTAGCTGCACTACTTCATTGGTTGTCAGGATGCCAGCAGCTTACATCCTGGCACAAAGTCAGTGATTGTTGAGACAGACTGCCAGTGTCCTAGCAAACGGTGAAGCTCAGCCGCACAGCATCCTTGAGACCTGTGCGCAAGGCAGGTTTTGCATTCATTCACCAACATTTGTAGTATGGTGGAGCAGTCACTCTTTATGAATTGCAGGGAATGTTTCTACATCAGCTAGATGTTTACCAATGCCTTATGGGATTTGTAGTTTCACCACATCTGGAGGGCCAATGTTTAGCTACCTCTGGATAGGGTATCAGGAAAAGGACTTTTACTTACCTTATCCTTTGCTTCCCCGGGGGGTTCTTCTCCCTGACGCTCCGGATTGCGGTTGGTCCGTCGCCGTCCAGACACAATGCAGTGTTATTAGCCCCGTTTGTACTTGATAATGTCCGAGCACCTGCGACCAAAGTAGCTCCTTAGTGACAAGGCTTAGGTACTGGTTGTATAGCGTACACAGTGAAGGATTGAGTAAGTGAAAGTTTCCTGTTACCCTGGGCAAGAAAGGGCATTTAACCCTTGCAGTATTGGAGGACTACTCTTTTAATTTCCCCAAAGTTCAGCTTTAGAAGCTACGTTTTATCCATCCAGCATTGCAAGGCAACTGCGTTAATGAGTGGTATGATGACTTGCTTTATATACCTTGGATATGATGAACATTCTGCTTGCCTTTTAGGTTTTTGTTTAGTTCTATTTATGTAAATTTGAGATTGGTCTGTATTCTGACAGCTGGCACCTGCAACTGTCAGAATACCAGAGCACTAACCATTTCTGATTGGCTGCAGTCACTGTTCAGGCGAGAATTTTCTGTCGACTCCTTTGATTTTCTGATCGCAGGATGTTAAGCGCAAGGCTGCAGTCACGGCCTCTCCTGTGTGCCTCTCCGAATTTCAGCCAAATATTACATTTAATTTTTTAGTAATTATTATTCCAGTTAAAACCAATATACATTGCCCAGCCAAGTATTTCTTAATATTTTCACCCCAAGCACTGACCACTCATGTTTCTTAACAGCGGACTCCAACTCTCTCAGCTCACCTTCCCTGAACTTCTGGTCCAGTACAAGATCACAAGAGACAGAGCAGTCTGCAGCAGCTGTCCATCTACTAGCTTGGAGCAGGGGGAAGGGTAGTGGTTTGCTTTGCCTTGCTCTGCCTGTGTTTGTGGAAACTCGCACATCACTAGCACACACAAGGATGGCTCCGTAGGACCCTGCAATACAAATGAGCCACCCTTCAATCAGCACTTGAAATAGCTTCAAAACCTTTTGATTAGGGATGCACCAATACCAGTTTTACGGTATCGAGTACGAGCACCGATTATTTTTTTCCGGTACTTGGCAAAACCGAATACTAACATCCAGGGGCCCGGATTTTCAGGAAGCCGGGCGGTGGGTCATGACCTGGGAAGCCGGTGTTCTATCGAAAGAACACCGGCTTCACTTGCCTCAAGACACTGCGAGGCAGCCTTACTTCTTAATTGGTCAGGAAGCCACGTTGCCTATCAATAAGTGAAGCCAGCTTCATGCTCCCTCGCGGCACTGCCAGTCAGAGGGAGAACTCCCTCTGACCGGAAGTTCTGGTATCGGGGGTACGAGTACTCGCCCAAATACTCAGTATTGGTATCAGTGCATCCCTACTTTTGACTTTACTATAATTTTAAAGAGGAACTCTTTGACAACCATTCTCACTATCGATTATTATCGATTAGTTGGTTGCCCTAGTTGAGTGCTCATTTTGTCTAGGGGGTCAAATAAAGCAGATTTACTCACCTGATCCTCGGTTCCACCGACTGGTCCGCGCAGCCTCTTCTCTTCCGGGCTGCGGTCGTCTAAGTTCCCCGCTGTCATCGCGTCTAATGCAGGTCTGTTGACTTTCATTAGACTTGAGGACACCGAGGGACATTCCACAGCCGAAGGGGGAGAGAGGTGAGTGCTGACTGCTGCAGGAGCAGGGATCAGGTGAGTATATCTGCTTTATTTGAGCCCAATAAACAAAATGAGTGCTTAACCCATTTTTAAAATGCCCAGAGATATTCTTTAACTTTGCTTGACACTGTGTGATGACACAACACTGATCCATTTGTAACCCCCAGACAGAGCTAGAATTTCACATTCGAACACAACAAGGCACGCTTGTGTACAGATGATCTAGGGCCTTGGTTCTCAACTGGTGGGTCGTGACCCAAAAGTGGGTCGCGACCCCGTGTTCAGTGGGTCGCCGCATGCCTTCCCCTTCTAGTTGAGAGGCTCCCCAGCCTCCCTCTAGTGCAGCAATTTCCATTCTTACACAGAGCAGCCATTCAAAATATGCTGCCCGGAGCCAAGTGTCGACTTGAAATGGGGCGGGCTGGGAGTATGGCAAACGAGGGAGCTCCATCCATACATACATTGCTTATAGCTCCCCCACATGTCCTGTAGAGGAGCCTGGACCGGAGTGACATCACATTCTGGCTCCCGGAACCTCTACAGGCGCGCATGGAAGCTTTTCAAGCAATGCACATATG